CTGAGAAAGGGCAGCGGCTCCCGGCTCAGTTCAGTTTAAAAACAACCAACACAGTGCCGTTATGTGTCAGACACTGCTAGGTGCTGGGGACACAGGGGTGAAGCAGGCAGGGGGATAGCAACATGTAAACAAATCCGTCACCAAGTGAAGTTGGGAAGAGCTGTGTAATAGGACACACGGGGCTGGGCATCCAGGGGACGCACCTACCCAATGAGACATGCTTCTTGGATGAAATGAATAGCTTTTTAGGAATGTTGGCTATGTCTGCCATCTTATCCTCAAGGGCCGAGGCCAACCCACTTCTGCTAACGGCCAGATAATACATATTGTAGGCTCTACAGCCACAGTATTTTTTGTAATATATTTTTATTGATTTCAGAGAGGAAGGAGACGGGTAGGGAGAGAGAGAAACATCAATGATGAAAGAAAGAGTCATTGACCTGCTGCCTCCTGCACACCTGCACTGGGGGTTGAGCCCGCCACCTGGGCCTGTGCCCTGATCGGAAATCGAACAGGGACTTCCTGGTTCATAGGTGGATGCTCAACCACTGAGCCACGTGGCGGGGCTTCAGCCACCGTATTTATTGTCTCTCTTACAATTACTCAGCTCTGCCACTGTAGCAGGAAAGCAGCCACAGACAATACAATCGGGAATTCCATGGGCGTGGCTGTGTGCCAATAAAGCTTTATTTATAAAACTGGTAGCGGTTGGATTTGGCCCCACCCCATCCTAGAACATGGATGGTTCTTCAGGACTGGCTTGACCCAGTGATGATTCTCCTCCCCTCCCCTCCTCCACCTCAGCCTTCAGCCAAGGGGAGTGCCCCCCAGGCCCTCAATCTCCAGTCTTTCCTCTGTCTGGACATTTCTATGATTTAGTCAGGTTGGATTTCAATAGTACATCGTGCCCACATTGTAGCTAATCTGCGTGGCAGTCCCGCTGAGAAATGCCTTGACTCCGAGTCTGGGCTCTGTAAAATCAATCAGGTTCTGTCCCTGTTCACCCCAGCACCACTGACATTGCACGGGGCTCCAGTTCCATGCGAAATTCTCCCTCCGGCGGGAGAGGATGCCCACAGGCGTCTGACAGGCACGGTCAGTGTGTACCTGAGGCACCTGTAGAGCTGCAGTAATTTTCTTCACCCAAGTAGTGAAGGAATAGCTGCATGGCCTACATACGTGGATATGCTGGAAGGAATCCACCGTTTCTGCAAAAGGGTTCAGAAGGCAGTAGCACATCCAATATCTCCCCCACGTTGGCCCTCGTCCAGCCTGGGCTCTCGGGCAGCCTCTGAGAGGGAGGGTGGAATTCCGCTGCCCGTGGGAAAGCCGCCTCGCATTCCCTGGAAATTCTTCGCCTTGGCATTTCTTGTCTTTGCTCCCCCTTCGGATGATGCCACGTTCGTGAAATGTGGCTGTTTCCTGCAGAGGGAAGGAGCCGGCCTCAGAGGTTCTGCCACTTTAGTGCCCACAGCCTTGCATGCGTGCCCAAGGCCCTGTGATTGACAAGGGAGACAGGAAACGCTGGGAGAAGCCGTGGTGGGGTGAGATCAATCAGGACTTGCCATGGCAGCCAGATTAAAGGCAGCAACAATTTCCTTCCATCCTGAGTACCAGCTCTCACTCCAGTGTCTTCGCAGCAGAGGAGGTCTCAGTCAGTTTCCCCCCTTCCTCCCGTTCCTCCTCCCCCATCTCTCATTCATTCATTCATTCATTCACTCATTCATGTGTTGAGCTGCCATTTGCCGGGCCCTGGGCTTGGGCCATTACACGCTGGTGTCACTAATTCCTAACACCTTTGTGGTGTCGGGACTGCTATTCTTTCTGTTTATCAGGTGGGAAGTTGAGGGTCCCAAAAATTATGGCGTTTCCCAAAGTAGCTGGTCTGTAACATGAAACCCAGGCCTGCTTGAGCCCAGACCACCCATGGTTCCTCCTCACCTTGCTGACCACCATGCTACCATCAGCGCCTGGAGTCATGAGCACACAGCATCCCAGGGTTTCTCAGCCCCAGCACCCTGACACCTGGGCCCTGGGTAACCCTAAGCTCATCTGTAGTAAGATGTTCAGCAGATCCTTAGCCTTCATCTACTGGACGCCAGTAGCCAGATGTCACATGTCCCCTGGGAGGCAAAACCCCTTTCTGGGGAACCACTGCCTTTAGCCAGCTTTTGAGGAATAGACAGACCTGTCTGTCTCCTGCCCGGGCTCCTAGCAACCATCACATCTGAATTACAAATAGAAGGAGCTGCAGGGGAAAGAGCAAAGCTTTCTCTCCATCAGCCCACAGTGAAGCTGAGCAAAGCAAACACACCTGATGGAAACAATAATCTGTACACACACACACACACACACACACACACACATATACACACACACACACACACACACTCACACTCACACTCACACTCACACTCACACAGAGAGAGGATCTCCTCACCGTGTCTGTCCTTTGTTTTGTGCCCGGCCCTAAGCCCTGTGGGGAATCAGACACGGAAGGCCTGTCTCAAGTCCCTGGAAATGGCATTTGGCAGTTTATTGAATCAATGAATGAATGGAAGACCAGTGAGTGGAGGAGATGAGATAGGGCTCCGCAGAGGCTGCTCAGTGTCTGGTGATTAGCATTACAAGGAGGGATGGAGGGGCTTGGAGCGCAGAGCTCGGCTGGCAGATGGCACGGCCTTGACCTAATAGACAAGGTGGGGTTCAGGCATGCACAACGGGAGGGGGGCCTTGCTGGGCTGAGAGGAGCCCTGACCTGGCCCTTGGCCCTGTGTGAATGGAGTGTGGTCAGAGTTGGGGTTCAGAAAGGCCTTGAAGCCCACATCAGCTTGAAGCCCAGGCAGCCACCCACCCCGGGGTCCTACCCCTGTTCCCTCACCACTGAAATGCACACATGGCCCCCGGTCCTTGGCTGCAGTTCTGAAATCTGAAAGTTCTACAAGTTAGAACGCACATTTTTTGTAAGTTTGCAGCAAACTCATTTGGTGGCAAAATCTGAGCTGGATGTTGTGACCGAAGAAGTGACATTCTTTATTCATCGCTCTTAGTAGGAGCCATCTGTGCTTTTTACCGCAGAAATACTTGTGTTTGAGGACGGGCTCTGCTCCAGACGCCCCTAGGGAGACTGCCCATTGCTTGACTGCGTCCTTCGGTTCTTTAAAGAGGCCGCAGTTTTGAATTGCAGTGCACGCCTGGCCCGGGGAGCTGAGTAAGGGGCTGTGGGCACGTTAGCCTCTTGGGAGGAGCCGCTGAGATGACCCCTGGAGAGGAGGGTTAGAGCTGCGCTCTGCCTGCTGAGCGCCTGGGAAAGACCAGCTGTCTTTGCTCTTATTTCTCTTACTCACCTGAGCACAGACCTCCCTACGTGTAAGCTCGTGAGGTCTGAAGGAGTTACCGACATTTTTAAAGCGCAAAAAGCAGCGTTTGTTTCTCAAGCATGTCAGAGTATTCCTCATGAATAGGGCACCCACTGCTCTCTCCCCCCTCCTCCCCACTCCCCTTCCCCACAGACACCCCTCTGCTCGGCTTTGGGACATCGGCACCTTCTGTGACCATCACCCCCCACGGCCAGCTGCTGGGCAGGTCCCAGGCCATCCAGGTGGGCACTTCGTGGAAGCAAGTGGACCAGTTCCTGGGAGTGCCCTATGCTGCCCCGCCCCTGGCGGAGGGCCGCTTCTGGGCACCGGAGCCCTCCAACTGGACCGGGTCCTGGGCTGCCACCAAGCCGCGGTAAGGGTTGAGTGCAATGCACTCATCTTCTAATCCATCCGCGTCAGACTGATGGCAGGATAGCGCATGTGGGCCTGAGTGGGGCGTGGGGCTGGGGGTGTGCAGATAAGGTGGTGTTACGTGCTCTAACAGGTAACCCCTCCCCAACATCAGCCACTGAACATGGCCTTACTCATATGAAGTCCATTTGGGGATGGAGGGTCGCTGTGCTCGGCTCCACCTGCACCCTTGGTGACCTGGTTGCTGCCGAAATGCTGCAGAGCTGGTGGGCAGAGGGCTCTGGCCACTGGTGCTGGGCTGGAAGGGACATGGGCAAGTCCCCGCGGTTGATTCTCCTGGAAGTCAGACCGTCTGTATCTGCAGGGCCCGCTGCTGGCAGCCAGGGGTCAAGACGCCCACACCGTCCGGGGTCAGCGAGGACTGCTTGTATCTCAACGTGTTTGTCCCTCAGAACGTGGTGAGTCTGAGCCGTTGCTGGGTTTGCCCTGAAAGCTGCCCATTGGCAACCCCCAGTCCCCACAGCTTCCAGCACCGTCCCCTCATCTCCACTCGGGTTATGCCTGAACGGCTGAGAGCGAGCTCAGGGTCCTCCCGGCTCCTACACGGCTGCGCCTGCTCCTCGCCACATCCTCTCGCCCCGTGCACACGGGACAGTGCGCGCTTACCCCGTGCCGTGCTCTGGAACTGTTCACACGGGGCCCATGACGGGCGGGGACTCTCCTGGGGGAGACACAGCTGTGAACAAGACCCAGCAGCTGCTTGGGGAGGGGGTTATACTTTAGTGGGAAGGGGCAGAAATAAGTAAGCAACGAAATATTAAACAACAACTGAACGACAAATAAATATGGAAGCAAAATACAGCACAGGAGGAAGCGGCAAGTGACAGGTGTGAGGTGGTGGCCAGGTGGTGCCCTCCCAGCAGGCCGTGCAGGAGGGAGGGTGTGAGACGCGCAGGTGGGGCAGGGCCAGCGATGAAGGGTTGGGGGGACACAGGATGGGGAAGGGGAACCCACATTCAAGTTAGTTTGCCCACGAGGAAATAACCTCTCTCCTTGGGAGGACTTTGGAGAGACCCCTCGTCCGTCTCTTGGGAGCCATCCGTGGAAACGCGGGTCTCAGGCCACGCTGGAGAGGGAGCGCGGCTCTGGCCCTGACTCTGGTTATGCCCCGGTTTGAAGCCCGCGTTTGCCTGAGTGGTGGCTCTGAACCTGAGGTTCAGTCTTGGAGCTTCCTGTTTTGGAGCAAGGGTCAGAGCACACGAGAGAAAAAGGAACTGAGGAACTTCGGGAAACATGAGTTCCTGGTGACCCATATTGACTCATCTCCTGGCACATGTGACCATGTCACCACTTCCTGGTCCCCTAGCCCACTAGCCATGGGAGCCAGCTGCACTTTGGAGGTGTGATGGCAGCCAGCTGGTCTGAGTGAACTCTGTAACAAGGCCACCAAACAGGGCTTGCTGGCGGTGAGGAGACCATCTGCATGTCGGAGCCCGTGGCACAGGGAGTGGAGAAGTCACAGCACAGGGAGGCAAGACCTGGATGGCATGGCCCCCCCGGAGCCTGGCCTATCCCCTGGCCTGGGGTGGGGTGTCAGACCCCCGGATGGAGCATTGTAGGCTCATATAAAAGGATCAGTTTAAGTTCAAAGCCCAGTTCTGCTGCCTTATAGCTGCTGT